GCGAAGGTGGGAAGTAACCTTAAGTCTCGGGATATCTCCGTCGAACCACGGAGATGCAACTGAAATTTTTTTAAACTTGGGCCCTCCTGAGTCTCGGTGAACAAATTCCTCCACAATTGATTACATTAATTTTAATATTAATGTGGAAAGTTTCCATAAAATACCAAAATTTCCTAATAATCAAATCAGACATAGACGTTTTAGTATCTATTTTACAATTTTAGTCGACCTAAACTGTAGCTATGACAGCCGTGAAGTGAAATACGACTGAACTACTCTAGTAGTTCCTTATCAAGGGGTCTTACATCCGGGATCTTATCAAGGGGTCTGACATCCGGGATCTTATCAAGGGGTCTGACATCCGGGATCTTAACAATTTTCCTACAGTCTCACCCAAAGTAAACTCGTTTTACGCATTGAAGTATCAGCAAAATATCTAAGCTACGAATGCATTGGGAACAGCTAAATGTTCTAACATTTGTCTTTCATTTTTGAAAGGAAAACTCCGTCACTGTTTTCATCTAGAATGAATTAAAATGAACCGTTAAACACATCAAGTATACGATGTAACTTTTCCAAAAACATTGAGTTTGAAAGTTGACAGGAAAGTTGGAAAGATAGTTTTAATGAAACGTTGAGATTCAGTAGCCTCTTTGTTCACTGGCCATGGTACGAAAATACTCACTGGTGAAGATGAAGAGCTCCTGTCGCATAGTGAAGATGTTTAAGAAGGACTCTCACCATCGGAAGAGTCAAACCAAGCTCCACTCGTTGACGATTCTTCAAATATCTGCGGCATCATCTGTCACATGAAAACTCAAAAAAACTAGTCAAATAATACCAATTTGATCAAGAAAGTCAACAGAAAGAGAGGAAGCCCAGAAATACTAAATTCATTGACATCGCTGAGTAATCTTTTTGCCCGCGCTGGGAGGCCGCTTAAGAGTTTAACAAGAGAAACGGAGTGCTATTAAACAACGGAGAAAACTATCATCTACTCCAGTCCAGGTAAGAAAAAGATTTGTTTTTTCATTAATACTTCGACTCAGCCTTTTGACTGTAGTTTCTGTTGTTATTATTTGCTGTCGTTGTTATTATTTGTTGTTTGTTATTATTTGCTGTCGTTGTTATTATTTGTTGTTTGTTATTATTTGCTGTCGTTGTTATTATTTGTTGTTTGTTATTATTTGCTGTCGTTGTTATTATTTGTTGTTTGTTATTATTTGCTGTCGTTGTTATTATTTGTTGTTTGTTATTATTTGCTGTCGTTGTTATTATTTGTTGTTTGTTATTATTTGCTGTTGTTGTTGTTTTGATGCAGTCAGGAGAGACCGGGTTATGTAATTAGTTGTTGTTGTTGTTTTTGTTGTTGTCTTAAAAATACAACAGCAAAAACAATTCACTTTGAATGGTCTGTTATGATAGGTAGGAGGTTGTCAGAGGTAATATCACAAGTTTAGCGATCTTACAAATAATCAACTTAAGAACCATGAATCATCAATCTACCTACCACCATTTCTTTATCTCATTCAGTTTAATTGCATAAAACGTATATGTACGATCCCTTGAAATAGGAGAAAACACAGCGCTATCGAGTTTTTTCAGCTCATTGGAATATATTGTTATTTTTGGGTTAAATGGTCTCTTTCAGAGGAAACTTTTAGGAGTTAAACTTGAAGAGACATTGATACGTTGAAGGAAGAAGTAAAGAAATAAACTTTAATTATTTTCAGCGACTCTTTCACTATTAGAGAACCATCTCCCACGGATCCCACAGATCGTCCGAGGTCATAGCGTTCATCGCAACTGCGAGAAAACTGGAGATGCCTGTTGACGGCTTCTTCCGCTCGCCAGGCTGCCATCTTGTAGGAATTTAGGAATTTAGGAATTTAATTTATTCGTCACGGGAATGGCGGGAGAAAGGTACCCCTTTGTACCCACCCCTCCCACGCCGGGGAGGACATCCACCACACAGTAATCTCGTGCGTGGGAAATTAACGTCTCCTACCCCTAACCCTGCAGGAGACGGGACCTACGGTTTTATTCGTCCTTATCCGAGAAGACTAGAATATCTATCCATTTCTTGATATTAAAGAAAGGTAGCAAATTCTTCTCAGTTATTTTAAGACCATGAGTATTAGTCCTGCCGGGGCTCGAACCCTCGACCTCCC